AAGAATCGATCGAAAAATAAGAACGTTATACGATCGAAAACCCCGTTAATCTATCATCAAATCCAAACATAGATAAAAAAAAAGCCCTGAATCGATCGACAAAGTCCGTGAATCGATGACAAAGCCACGAATCGATCGGCAAACTCTTAAATCGACCGATAATTGAGCCGTGAATCGATCGAATTAGTGTGGATTGAATCATGTCGATCGATTCACGTTGCTTTTTCGATCCAGTCCATATCCTCCTCTTATGGATTCTTTGTACTCTCTGCATCAGTAATGTTTACCTACGAAGGGTCTGCACGTCATAATCTGAAAAATCGGCCGGAATGAATCCTATCTTTCGTGAAATCGCTGAAAATTGACGGTGTCCCCTCTAGTATTTGCAGGACCCAGTCGATTGAACGTATCACTCCGAGCAGTTTCCTTTGGAGCGATTGTCAAGTCAACAACCTCACAAAAGGAAGAACTCACAATGGGTGAAACGACGGACAACAATGAAACTGACACGGTGTAAATAATTGACAAAGGTCAATAGCAGAGGCAAACCGCAATCACAAAATTACTTCCAGTCATGTCCTGCAGTCGGGTGACGGGAGCTCTTTGCTTCGAACGTTTTTCGTGGGACATTTAGCGATGAAAAATGGAAGTCTCTTCAATAATAAAGCCCTGTGTGGTAAGCACTGTGTTAAAGATAGTGCTTAGAGGGGATTTCAACCAATGGGGCTTTCAGCTTATAAGTGAGCTATAACAGACCATTAGACGGGGCATTTTTTTCCCCCTTTTGTTTTAGTGTCAACAATGGTTTATTTGATAATAATTACAACTTGAAACTGCAGCAGGCAGTGTTTCAGCTCGAAAAAATAAGAGCCTTAAGTTAATATAAATTGGACTACATTTTAAAATTTGGACCTATAAATTCTAGCCCGGTTTAAAAACGACGTATGTGCCATTAATTTCCCTATGCACGTAAGTGTTTTTCCAAAAGAGCCAGAATCTATATTTCCAAATTGCAAAATGCAGTCCAATTATCCTTATCACTGAATTCGTCACTTGCTGGCCAAAGTATAACAAGCGTCATGCGACGTCTCAAAATTTCTGCCGCCACTTTATATTTTTAAAGAAAAATTATTCAACGATGCTGTTTGGAAATTACACTGAATTTTCTTCGTACTGCCCATAAAATTCCGTGAAATTTGCAAACAGATTCAACCAACAATTTCCTTGTAAAAAAATAAAATGGCGGCGGAAATTTTGAAACGTTGCATGGCGCTTGCGACACTTTGGCCGGAAGGTGACGAAATGGAGAGACCCGCTCGGTATCTTTATCAGTCAGTGCTTACGGTTACTTCAATTAATTAGGCCATTTTTACTGTGTCTTCCATTATTTGGTTAACGTGTTTATATTGAGATAAACATAGTTAGGTGGCGACAAATCGGAACTGCTATAAGGAATTACTTCTGTATAAGCTCTCCTCGCACTGTTCAAGCGCACTATCAAGAGCTTTTAGGCTAATTTATTAATTTATTATACTTCCCTATAGTCGTTCTCTGTATTTTGCTTCAATTATTCTTGTTCTCTGACATAATTTCTACTATATTTTCTTTATTTACTGTTTGTTTCAGGTAAGATTCCAGCTCTCTCCTATGCTTCACAATTTTTGTCAGTCAAAAAAGGTGTGTTCCGGTCTGTCAACTACTCACAGAACAGGCAGTCCAGAGATTTCCCCAAGTTAAATCTGCATAAGAAATGGTTGAAAGAAAAGGTACGGAATTAAAAAAACCGCAAAATACTTTGTAGCATCAGCAAAATTTTCCGTAGAATACGTTGAACGCATACAAATTTTCATTTTCAACTCATAAGTTAGAGAGTATAACGGTTCCAGAGCAACAGAGTGTTCTGAGAGTCCTTGAAGCCCTTCGTATTAGCGCCAAGAATTGTGATATCTGATATTTTAAATTTCACCCTCATTGGTTGCGTATTAATTTTGTAAAAATTTAACGTTTACTCAGCCTATTTCTCAAGAATTTAACGCTTTTGAAGTTATTTCTTCAAAAATTAAACTTTTAAGCTAAAAAAAAGACGAAGAAAAAAATTAGCACTTGATAAATAATTTTCTCAAAAATTTCAAGTTTTTGCACTAGTTTTGTAAAAATCAGTGCGTTCGAATTCATTTTTACAAAATATCAACATCCTTGTTATAAAAAGGTTTTCGAAAAAATCAGTGTGTTGAGCGGACACTCTTTAGAAAAAGACAGATTTTTTTTTTATTTGTGTAACTGAACTTCTTTCATCAGCTCCTTTAACCTCATAAGTTTGGTTACACGAACCAAACGTTCGGTTCCTTGAACTGACTGGCGGGTTTGACGAACCGAATAGTTAGGGTGATTTAGAGCACCATTTTCTCTTATATGTGGATATTCAATTTCACCAACTTGAAAGTCGAAATAGTTGTATCACACGCCTCGTCCCATCCAACTTTTCTGTTGTTGCGTTAAAGTCTCCTAGTCAGCCGAAAAGAGACTCCTTCATTTCGTGGATATTCAATTTCACCAACTTGAAAGTCGAAATAGTTGTATCACGCGCCTCGCCCCATCCAACTTTTCTGTTGCTGCGTTAAAGTCACCTAGTCAGCCGAAAAGAGGCTCTCCTTCATTTTGTGGATATGCAATTATACCTACTTGGAAGTCGGAATAGTTGTATCACGCGTTATACCCTATCCATCTCTTCTACTCCGTGTTAAAATCGTTGGATAAGCAGAAAACAGACCAAGCTCTTTTTCATTGTTATGGATATGCGAGAAAGTTTTGTTGCTTCATAATTTTGACCGGATCTGTGAAAAGGTGGAAAGACCCGGACGAAAATTTTTAAAACTTTGAATCCTGCGAGAAAATCGATCGCGGAAAGCCAGAAGCGCATGTAGGAGTACTTCAAGCATCGCGTAAATTTCAAAGGCTCTCACCTGGGGGTGTGTCATAATCGTAAAAAATTTCCTACCATATTTTGTACTCTGTGCAGTGGTTAATCATTGTAATCCCTTGCTAGGATCCATTTCCAAAGTTACACTATCGAATTTTTCTCGAAATTGGCAAAAATTATCCTTTTTATAATGTTTCATTGAGAACTTCACTGGAAAAAAAAAAAACACATTGCATCTAGAGTCCAGACTCCTCTACACATCGACAAGAAAAAGTACTCTTGATTCAATCAGAATCTAGCTTAAATCAAGAACCACGCCTCTTAATCTAAGCGGATTTCGTTTTGATGTAAGCAAAAATCCGATTGAATTAAGAGTATTTTTCTTGTCAATGTTTTCAAGAGTCTGGACTCTAGATCCAATGTGTTTTTTTCCAGTGTTCTTTAAAGCACCCTAGATTACTTCGTGAACAAAAGGGTCCTCCTCTTGGATTAGCTAATTTTGATTTAATTAAACCAAAATATTTCGCCTGAAAATATTGCCACCGTCCGTTTTACCTTTCTCTTTCGACAAATACAAGTAAACGAAATAGCGCAGGCAAATTCACTTCAGTGCTAGCGTTTTCAACTTATTTCACAATGAAATGCATAGTGATTAAAGTTAACAGTCTCCAAAATGCAAGATCAACTTTTTTCAGAGAATGGGGGATTCGAATTTGTTTGGGTGCTATTGAGGTGGTTTAAATCAACCAAAGTCGATTACAACTATCACGACTAACCATAATTAATGTCAGAACAAGAGCAAAAAGTTCATTTAAACGAAATGTCAAGAGTGCCGGCTTTTCTCGGTCGAATCGCGCATTTGTAAACTTAGTTCATGAAACAGCATCGAATAATTCAAACTTCTCTCATCTCTCGGTGCCTTGTTGAAAGATTTCCATCCACAAAGTGAATCAAGGCCGGTATCCACTCGTTGGTAAACTTTACTGGTACGACGACAGACAACTGAACACTGAAAGAAGAAGATGTTTGGCTCAAGCATGCTGATTCTTAGATTTGCCGCCAAGAATGTTTTTCATCTTGATTTTTCTTGATACAAGAAAAATAATGACTGGGTTAAGAAAAGAGGTAGTTTATATTAAGAAGAAAAATTCTTGACTTATATTAAGAGAAAATACTTCTTGGCGGCAAAAAGATTCTTTTTTCAGTGATGAGTAGAAACTGAGCACTAAATTCCATGTTTTTTCCATGAATTTTTTTCTTAGAATGAGATGAAAACTTACCAAATTCAGGATTAGACGTATTTAAATCAACAGGAATTATATTCGTTTTACTTGAGACGGGTCATACATGTATTCTTCAGGGCTCATGTCGAATTGCATATCGTCGCGTTTGATTCAAGTACGTGCGATTTCAAAATTCAGTTTGTAAGTCATTGCTCTCTCCACGAGGGAACGTAACACAATTTAACTGTTGCAAAATCATCCTTATCAAGGATGAGAGGATTTATTATTATTAAGATATTATGGATTCATTTTTATAAAGATACCACTCAGCGTTAGACCGAAAATCCCTTTATTTTTCATGGGATTGTAAGCCGAAATCAGCAAAACTTTGAACAACAATTGTGAGGTAGTACATCCGTAAGAATATGGATTGTTTGAGTCAACTTAACAACCTTGGCATGTAATGACGTCTCTTCGTCTTGAATTCGACTAAGCGAAAAACTAGCGGCGACTGAAATTTTTGCTTATTGCCAAAAACACAAGTCTACTCTGTTTTTCCGCGACAAATTAATTGTTGGAACATTCACTACTTCTGCCGAGCTAATGAAAGAACGCCGCATGAGTCCTCAGATGTTGCCATATTTCCCTTCGTTAAAAACCTACTTTCCTTGGAAAATTCTGAATATTTTTTTTCAATTTTTTCAGACAATTTTGTCCGCAATTTTATCTAAGACGTCTGAGAATTTCAAGGAAAAGGATAACCCTTTTCAAATATACATGTTTTATTCGGGACAGTTTGGCAACTCTCGAATGTTCATATGTCGTCTTTCCGTAGCACGGTAGAACTGATAGTGCACGGGTATGACCCTTAATTGGCTGGATATCTTTTACTCGACGAAGGAGCCTCTGCACCTGACGACATTTGGCTGAGGGTGCGTTTTCTGGGATCGGGTAACACCTGGAGTCCGTCGATCTTGTAGGTTTGAATACCTACCCCACATCTTCCTTTTTTAACCAGAAAGTGACCCTGCAGCAAGAGATACAAACATTTTATGAGGTAATTTTTAATGGGTCAGTTGCGCCGGTCATAGAATCGTGTTCCGATGCTTGATTCTTATGGATCAGCTAAAAATAATAAGATCCGTTCAAACAGCAACCCTCTACGTTCAATATTAACTGAGATATCGCCCTTTGAAGAGTCGGGTTTTTGATGTCATCCACCGCGGTAGTGACACCCTTGGTTTCTTCCACCTTGCTTTCATCAATTGGTGTGACGCACATTTGCGCTGGTAACTCAACTTAAAACAATAATGAAAGCAAAGTGGAAGAAAGCAAGGGTGTCACTACCGCGGTGGATGACATCAAAAACCTGACTTTCCAAAGGGCGATATCTGAGTTAATATTGAACGTAGAGAGTCGCTCTTTGGACAGATCTTTTTAATTGTAGGTGATCTACAAGAATCAAGGACTTAAAGACGATTCTGTGACCAGCGCAACTGACCCATTAAAAGGAAATTTGCTTCTTACAGAGAAAATTTTTTTCCACGATTCTACCAAAAAAGAATTGATCGTCAAACACAGAATTGGCCTATTGTACGCAAGACATACAGCCAAAGCAATACACTCCTTACCAGTAAAATCGCACAAAAATCACGTGGTGCACGTGAAAAAAGTCTGAAATCTATTCCGTATTGCGCAATCTACGTAGTTTCTAACACGCTTTTTCAAATTTCCCGCGTCAGTGGGCAATTTTTCTAATGCAGTCACCGCCGACCAGATTTGCGCAGACAGAAGAGTCGGAATAATCATTCTGAGTAAACGAACGATTTCACTGATTTTTTTCTATTGTATAATTTCTATCGTTATTCAATCATGAAAGGTTGGAGGGAAGGGATTGAAGCGGAAATGTTAAGGTGCTCAATCCCCCAAGATTTGTGGTTTGAAAGAGAGCAGTGGAGGATAGGAGTCGTAGAGCGCGAGGAAGTGCTGTAAAGCGACCTATATATATATATATATATATATATAAAATCAATCATCAACTTGTTGAAAGTATCAGAATTGAACGCTACAAAGTTTTTCTGCTCTGAACAAGTTTGGGTCAACATTGTTAGTGGACTTTTCAAAGGAAGATATACGTAAATATGATAAAAAGTAAACAGTAGCGACAAATTTTTTGACCTGTTACCTGAAAATGGCCCTTAAAAATTGCAAATTTGCAAGAAGAAAACCTTTGAAGCCCTTTTATCATACTTATTAATTATTTTACGTCTGAAATAATTTCTTTACCTCCAAACCCCATTCTTTGATCACGCTATCCCGTATAATCCAAGCGTCTGAAACAGAGTGGAAAATTACAAGAATGAGTAGTGGGAAACCTTAGCAACAATACTTTTACTTCATTCTGCAATAAGAACCACTATTTCTAGCTCATCTACAAAATCACGCATTGGTGAACTATTTGAAAAACACCGATCAATGGAGATGTTGCATTTGTGAGGGCTTTGCGATTTGACCATTGATTCTTATGTAAAAGTTCGCGAGAAACACGATGGTGCCACTGGTTTTCTCTGAAATCATCTCCCAAGCTCAAAAAAAGCTCTCAAAGTGAGGCCATTGAAGATAAACTTTTGACTAAGTTGTCAAGTGAAAAGAGCAAGGATGGAACCACCTCTGCTGTAAAATGATAATAATGCTCCAAGTAATCTGTTTCGAGAAGACCTCTGTAGTGGGAATTGAAGATAAACTTTTGACTAAGTTGTCAAGTGAAGAGAGCAAGGATGGAACCACCTCTGCTGTAAAATGATAATAATGCTCCAAGTAATATGTTTCGAGAATACCTCTGTAGTGGCCGACAATAGTGACAGCGTGATTCAGTCGATTGGGATCGTTATCGCAGTCCAGAGAATCGAACACTCCTGAAATGTAGAACTGAAACAAAGGAACAAACAGTCGTACAGTATAGAATAATCCGGGTGTCTACAAGTCCGGAATTTCCGGAATTTGTACTGATTTTTAAAGACGGTCCGGAAGTACTGAAAAAGTACGGAGATCCGCAAGGAGGGCCGGAATGTTTTGAGCGCTCATCGCGTTAGTAGTGTACGCTCTTTCCCGTCGTTTTGCATCGGGTAAGTTACTAATGTATCCATAGGTAAAGGCCCGCACTGCTCAATGGGAATCGGCGCCATTTTTCGTGGCGGGAAGCAATACCTAGTCTCTCAATTTGTTTTATGTATCATTTCTACCTTTTTTCTCCTATTTTGTCCACTTTATGTAATGCCTGGAGGCTTGTCCTCGAGAAATTAATATCTTTACGTTTTAAAACTCTGCAACGTAATTTTATTTAACGACTCTTTCAAGCGTCGTTCAAATTTTTTGTCGCGTTTTAACTTTTTCAAACGAGCTTGTCCAGGATTTTGACCCCAAAAGTATGCAGTAGCTCACGCGTTATCTACTCATCGTATTTGATTTAAAAATCGAGCCTCAAGCCAAAATTAAACAATATAATATTTCAAACTACATGTAGATGAAAAAATATATAAAATTTACAAGAAACAAAGCAAACGTTTCGATCACCCACAAACTGCGATCTTCTTCAGTGCATTACGAACAATCAATGGAAACATTTATTAATATGAAAAAGCTACAAAATTATTACCAAAATATGTGAAAATACATGCAAATGGGCCTGTTGCAAACTTTTGCTAGAGCAGAATGAGGAGTTGTTTCCTATAGATAATGCCTCAAAAATCACGATGAGCGCATCGGTAAAGTCTGAAATGCACTTATAAATTCACAATCTGCGTAAGAAATTTGCGTTATTTTGAGCTTCCCGCTTCAAAAACGATACTACTGCAAAGGTGAACATTTTGTTAGAGGAGTCGCTTCATCGTCGGCAATATTCATCATGGCCGACGCTTGTGCAGTTCCTCGCGTAATTCGAGGAGAGTTCAAGGTCAATTAAGGCGAGCGAGGAAAATATGAACGTAAACACGCCGATTGTTATCTGGTTTAATCCTGTTCAGGTGTTATCTCGTCCCATCACACGTGTTTTGGCGGACTGGCGTCGGCCATGATGAGTATTGCCGCCAATGGAACGACTCCTCTAACAAAATGTTCACCTGTACCGTAGTATCGTTTTTGAAGCGGGAAGCTCAAAAAACCGCAAATTTATTACGCAGATTGTGAAATTATGAGTGCATTTCAGACTTTGCCGATGCGCTCATCGTGATTTTTGAGGCATTATCTGTAAGAAACAACTCTTAGTTTTGCTCTAGCAAAAGTTTGCAACAGGCCCATTACATACATGCAACTATGTGCATTTGCATCTCACTGACATCTCGACTTCCTTATCACTGTTATCTTTTATCTTTCCTCATGAACTTACCTTCTTTTATTTTATTTCAAGATGTAGTCTGCATGTATTTTCACATAGTTTGCTAATAGTTTTGTAGCCTTCTTATATTGTAAAAAGTTTCTATTGGTTGTTCGTAATGCACCAAAGAGGATTGCAGTCCGTAGGCGGTTGAAACGTTTGCTTTGTTTCTTGTGAGTTTTATATATTTTCTCATCTACTTGTCGTTTGAAGAATTATACCTGTTTAATTTTGGCTTGTAGCTCGATTTTTAATCAATTACGATGTTCTTTATAGCTTAGCCAGCCAAAGGCGATGAAATGCATAGTCTACTCACCTGGCACTTTCAAAATATTAAATGGACGTATTTCTGCCAAACGGAACTATATGCATTATGACGTGAGCCGTGTAATGCATATATTCTTATGGGTATCAGGGCTCATGTCTTAATGCACATAGTTCCGTTTAGTGGCCCATTCTGCCGCGCTAAGGAAGAACGCCGTTTGAACATTCGGGAGTTCCCAAATTTCCTTCGATAAAATATTCATTTTTTAGGAAAGTTATGGATATTTACCTTTTACATTTTCAGAATCTTTAGGTGAAATTGCGAACAAAATTATCTAAAAAATCGGAAGGAAAACATTCATGAGTTTACCAGGACTATCGTGTTTTATCAAAGGATATTTTGCAACGCCTGAAGGTTCATACAGCGTTTTTCCTTAGCACGGCAGCATTAAACCATTGCTTTTCTTACCTGGAGGGACTCAGGAGAGTTGAACGTTGTTGGGAGTGGACTAGTTTGCACAGCCCACTCCAGATATTCCATTGGTACGAGTGTGCGACCTGTAATCTTCAAGGAAGGCGGTATGTACCGCTTGCATACCTCCGTCCTCGCCGTGTAGGGATAGTAGGCGGCAAGTGGGACACCGGTATCTCGCATGTAATCCAGAGGTTCCTCTATGCCCCCGTCCTCACAACCTCGATTCCCGGGTGTGCAGTCGATCAGCGCTAAAAATGAATTATTGGATTTCCATGAATGGAGATGTTGCATGTGTGAGGAATTTGCGATTTGACTAATAGTTCTAACGTAAAAGTCCGCGAGAAACACGATGGTGCCACTGGTTTTCTCTGAAATCAACTCCCGAGCTCAAAAAAAGCTCTCAAAGTGAGGCCAAAATGGAGGGGATATCCCGCCCTACCCTGAGAGTCCACCTCTACATCAAGACGAACTCTCCATACAAAGATAGGGAGCAAATACATAAGCAGTGATGCCGTGTTTTCAGTTTTAGAGTCCCCAAATAAAGTGGCAGCCCTGTCAATGTATTTGCTCCCTATCTTTGCATGGAAAGTTTGTCTTGATGTATAGGTGGACTCTCAGGATAGCGTGGGATATCCCCTCCATTTTGGCCTTAACTTGAGAGCTTTTTTTGAGCTTGGAAGTTGATTTCAGAGAAAATCAGTGGCACCATCGTGTTACTCGCGAACATTTACATCTGAATCAACAGTCAAATCGCAAATTCCTCACACATGCAACATCTCCATTGGACCATGGTCTGCGATGAGGAACTTTCATTTTTGACTCGATAAGGAAATCACCTATCTAATCGGGGAAAGTAAATACACCCCTGCCGTTTTTCAAACAGGGTGTCCACCGTTTCCTTTATTACAAACCGGAAAATAGTTGATGTCATGAGGGAAAATCAGGAAAATGGGTGCAGGAGCATGCCAATTCTGAATGCGTCAGGTATTTTTCAAGTACATGCAAAAGTAAAACATTTAATTCAATTCAATTTGTACAATATTTTGGTTCCTCAAATCAAACGAGCGTTCAGTTCAAATATTAGAACTATCCGAAATGAACTTTAAGAAACAAAATTAGGTTGGATGGAACGACTTTCTGTAATTTTCACCTGTGCTGTATATCGTTTTCGAAGCGAGAAGCTTGAAAAACGCATTGCAAAGTTTGTGAAGTTCCTTGTGTATTTCAGACTTTCCCGATGCACTCACCGTGACATGTAAGCCATTTTTCTAATGAAATAACTCTTCTTTTTACTCTAGCTAAAGTTCGTAAGAGGGTCATTCTGCCGTGCTAAGGAAAAACGCCGTATGAGCCTTCAGGCGTTGCCAAATATTCCTAGACAAATCACTAATTATCAAGAACATTTGTGAAAATTGTTCTTCCAATTCCTCAGGTAATTTTGTTCGTAATTTGATTCAAAAAGTCTGGAAATTTCAAGGAAAAATATTGATAATTTTCCTCTAAAATAAAAATTTTAAGTTCTAGGAAAAACGCCGTTTGAGCCTTCAGGCGTTGCCAAATATTCCTAGACAAATCACTAATTATCAAGAACATTTGTGAATATTTTTCTTCCAATTCCTCAGGTAATTTTGTTCGTAATTTGATTCAAAAAGTCTGGAAATTTCAAGGAAAAATATTGATAATTTTCCTCTAAAATAAAAATTTTAAGTTCTAGGAAAAACGCTGTTTGAGCCTTCAGGCGTTGCCAAATATTCCTAGACAAACCACTAATTATCAAGAACATTTGTGAATATTTTTCTTCCAATTCCTCAGGTAATTTTGTTCGTAATTTGATTCAAAAAGTCTGGAAATTTCAAGGAAAAATAGTGATAATTTTCCTCTAAAATAAACATTTTATCGGACGAGATTTGGCAACTCCCAAATGTTCATACGGCGTCCTTCCTTAGCACGAAAGTGTTGAACAAAAACTCTATTGAAACAATTGGATTGGTTAGTGTTTCACCTCCTATATTACTCGAAAGTAAAACAAGGACACAGATGGATGTATTTCTATCAAACGGACCTAAGCGTCATAGGGTGAGGAAGGTAGAGGGGGGCTTGGATTAGCGGCAGAATCGGGCGTCCTGCTTATTCCGTCCTATACTCGCAATGCTTTTCTATGGCGCTTAGGTCCGTTTGACAGAACGCGCTATCCGGGATTCTAAATTCCTCAGAAGGAACTCAAATTGGCGCTTAGTTCCGTTTGATAGAAATACGTCCAAATATTCTGCTCAGTGTGTACGGTTTACACTAACCTTGTTTCGAGAGCGGTACGATCCGCCTCTGCCACCTAGCAAAAATGATCTCAACCGCACTGGCCGTTGAAAAAGCCCAACACGCACCGCATTCTCTTCCGAACTGATCCTGTGAGCAAAATTAGTCAGGGTCGTATACACAGTCCTCTCTCAGACACTCTTAGGCAATATCTTTCCCTACACTGAAAAAAAATTCTCGGCGTTTTTACCACGGTCCGTTGGTGCCTTTACCATCTCACTTTTTTAACCAATTATTGGTAATTTTACCAAGACGGACTGGTAAGCTTACCTAAAAACCGGTATTTTTACTGTTTTTTTCAGGTAAGAATACCACTTTTATTGGTAATCAATTCCCGGTAACTATGCCATTTTATCTCGGTAATTCTACCACAGTCGATAAAAAATATCGGCGTTTTTACCAAGGTCCAGTAAAATTACCGAGAAAGTTCAATAATTCTACCGAGATTTCTCGGTAAAATTACCAATTCCATAAATGGTAATTTTACCAGGAAAAAACTGGAATCAAATAGAACCTTGACTTCTTGGTAATTTTACCCTCTTCTTAGTAAATACACCGAGATTTTTTTTTCAGTGTAGGGAGCTCTTAGTGGTTTTAAACTTAAAATAAAGCACAGAACAAAATGAAATGGCTGATTTAAAAATTTTGAGGTTAAAACAAGTGTCATACATGTTTCAATCATAGAGTACAATAGAGTCGCAATGTACTGGAGCGCCGATGAAGTCAATCCATGAACGAACCATTCCGAGCCCCTTGTTCGCCGGAAAGTGGGAACCATCTGGGAACCGTTCTGCATTTTTTATCACTGCGACTTATGGGAGAATCGCAGGCTGCGACTGGTTTTCGGGATTTATTCCCGTTACTCCCCGAAAAGGGACCTAAACTCACGGTGGCAAACTTTTCAGTAGATCTTCTTTTGTTGATATGGATCAAAAATTTGAAGGTTGAGCTTTCAACGGAAAGCTCTCTTTGATGAAAAAATTGTCAAAGAGATGACGACTTGTAATGGTGATAGGCGTTAATAGTCGAAATAGTAGTTTAGTTCAAAAGTTTCAAAGACCGCAGCAGGGTTGCAGAAAGTTCCTTGCTATCCAATTAAGATACTTTCCCTGTGCATTTTTAGGCAGCCATATATGTATATATATATGCTACCCTAGACTGTGCATTTCACTATTTTCTTTACGTGAAAAAGCGCGTCAAAAAGGTTCCCTCGCAAGAAATAACAAGTTCAGCAGTTTCCATCTAATAAAAAAAGCATTTAATTAGTTCCCGCATAAAGTAACTTATTCATAAAAATGTATAATACCAAGAGTCAAAAGAGAAAAATCCCGAATGCCTTCTCAGGCTTCAATTAGAGAGGCTTCAAGGAGTCAATTAGAAAGGTCGGACATGAAATTTTTTTTACTAAAACGGTCAATTTTGGTGTTAATTACGTCACATCTCAAATTTGAAGGGGTCTTATTAAATGAAAATTGCACGAGGAAACCAATGGAACCACTTTCAGAACCTCAAGGTTTCGTATAAACGGAGTTATGAGCGTTTAAAGTTGCCAAATTTTGTCCGACCTCTCCTATTGACTCGATCCTCTGTGGGCCGGCTCGTCGAAGATGTGAATGTTACGATTGTTACGCAGTCTTGCTTCCAAAGCGCCTTCCAGTAGCCTGGGTACAACCAAGTTCATCGGAAGAGGCCGAATAGTTGCCTATCCACGCCTGCAGCAGGTGTCGAGTGACTTCGCTTTATTTCGAATGCAATGAATAATTTTTTCATCAATTGGCAACAGTTTGCGAGTTTATTATTGTTTACGTATTTAGGTCGTATTCAAAACTACAGAATGAGTTTTTTTTTTGTTTGTTTGTTTGTTTGTTTGTTTGTTTGTGGGAAACTAGTAACAAAAGTTAAACTAAAATTTTGCCACTAATTTTATTCATAATAAATCAAAATAAATTCAAAATTGAAGTATGATTATAATTTTATTGATTGCTTCAATGGAGAATTTGCACGCAATTTTTTTATTGCTTCATCTAAAAGTGCCTAATGAGCTGAGTTCGCAATATTTTTCATAATTTTTTTCTGACATGGGAAATTGGAGAAAAATTGATTTAAAAGTGAGAAAATGTGCCGCCTTGTGACGTCATCTGGCGGCATTTCCCATTTAAACACATGTATTTTAGCAGAATCGGTTATTTTGTTACATCTCCTCTAATAGTTGCTCAATTTATGAATCAAGGGTATCTTCGTGTTCAGTTCACTCAGAGGATTCCACTTAAACAGGTAATTCATCAAATTTCAGACCCTTGCAAATTCTCCATTGTTTGTAGTAGCTAAATTAATTAGAACACAATGTCGAAGACATTATGATAACATTCAAACTTTTAAAATATATTTATTAAAGTTAAAATTACGACCTTACATTTTCAGTCCAGACTTAATAAATACAATTTTTAATAGTTAAATTAATCATTATTGGAAACTTTTCGAAATGTTGCTTCTATTTATATCTTACTCTATAGTATAAAATCATAAGCACACCGTGTCACGCTGAGGGTGTCACGCTGAGGGTGTCACGCTAATTAGTAACGCTCGGTTTCACCTCCACTCCCCGCTCCCCTCCCGCCGCGAACGCTCACATGCCTCCCGCCGTCTCCAAACCGGCTTTTCCCCAACTCTTAATGATCTTTTAACGATCTCACGATATCTGCTTATTAGAGGCGCGAAACGCCCCTGGGGGGTTGGACCGCGGAGCGGCCAGGGGGCGCAGCCCCCTAGTATAAATTTGAATTCACCAAAGTTTTGGAGTGTAAAAGCTAAAACTTTAACCGTAGCAGGTAAAATGTAGGTGTGGGTTTTGTTACAGCAAAGTTTTAAGAAAGCAAAGCATACAGAAGCTTGAATAGCTTAATCGAAAGAAATATTCACCCATTGAGCGTAGAATAGATTCGGTGAGATCTTTACGCTCACCATTTTTTCTACACGCTTATTCCATTTTAATTGCATCATTGATTGTCGCTGTAGCTGCCAATCTTCAGATCCTAAATCAAGTCATGATGGCCCAAAATGGTGAAAAATGAGCGTCGTTCCACAACAATGAATACACCAAAGCAATTATGATGTCTCGTGACAATTGTAATAATCAATAATTCTGGATAATTTGAGTTCATAATTGGACCACGTTTAACAGAAGGCAACGAAACCACATCAGCTGTTGAAAATTCTAACTGGGCAATTGACCACTAGACAAGGTACGAATTTAAGCAATCTGATACATGTTTCTTAACCAGAATTTCACGTAGAACACGATTCACACTATGAAAATTACCGAAATCAACTTCTAACGAAGATATTAATGTTTTTATTTCGCACTGATTATGAGGAATTTGAACTGCCCGCTCACAAGAAACTCAAAGCTCTACGTGAGTCAAATCGCGCACTACAACGGTTTCAGCAAGCTTCTCAATCGAGCAATGTTCATTTTCCACCATGTGTTGTTCAAACTATTGGTAATTTGCTATAGCTGAGCCAAAGTGTCAAAATTGAAGTTGAAGATTTTTATATCGCAGTGACTGTCATGATAACGTTTAGCGCGCGATGTGAATCACGTTGAGCATTGAGTTTTCATGAGCGGATGGTTTGAATTTACGCATCAAGAATCATAAAATATCTTCGTAAGGAGTTAATTTCGGTAATTTTCGTTGTGCGTATCGTGTTTTACGTGAAATTTTGGTTAGGAAACATGTATTAGAATGCTGAAATTCGTACCTTGTCTAGTGGTCCATTGAAGTTTTTACAGGGCAACGTTTGTTGTGGATTTCTTTGGAAATTTTACGGAATTCGCTTCGCACTATGCAGACAGTTCACTGCAATGTGCAAAAAAATACGCACAGTAGTTTTCATGTAAAAAATTAGATTTCTCAATTAAAGGCGGCGCTAACTGACATGACTTGGTTCCTTTCTGCCTAACACGGTCCAGTTTAACTACCCTTTCGGGCCCTTTAGGTTCCAGGACCTAAACTCGAAAATTACCGATATGTTCGTGTATCTTTTGAATCACTCTCACACACTCTCTCTGTGTATGTTCTTAACCTATTTTAGTTTTTTTAAATTCAATTTTCATTTTTCCTCTCTTTTTATCTGCCGTTTTGACTACATTTTGCTATCAGGAATTACACTACCGTGCCAAGCAAGAACGCCGTAAATCCATCAATATTTTTCCTCGTTTTTTGAAACTTAACACTTTATAAAATAAAAATTGTTTCACCCGTGTACCTTAAATTTTCAGGTTGAGTTCTTGATTGTATATGCGAAAGACTTCTTTAAAAACATTGCCCTAAGGTACACAAGTTTTTCATCTATGAAACATTGTTTCCAAAAAATGTAAAATGGCGTTTACGGCGTTTTCGCGTTGCACGGCAGCACATCTCTAGCTCAGTTTAAGAACAACCAATATGTCGTTTGTTTCCCTATGCACAGAATCGTGTTCTTAGATGAGCCAGAAACGGACGTAATCTATCAAACAGAACTGTGAGCCGGTGAGAGATATAGGGTGTGCTCTAGAAATCTGCATAAGAAACAATGTGAGAGTGGGTGTGATTCCTTTCGAGGAATTGGGAGCGGGATATTACATTCCATCAAACAGGGCTATGTGCCAACTGAATGCGAGACTCATGAGCCACGAGGATGGGACGAGAGCGTTGTGGACAGGGCTCATGAGTTAAAGCGCCCCGACGACGATCTCCCCCTCGCGCCCGGGCTTCATCATTTCCGCTGACGTCACTGGCGCTTTATTATCTTCATTCATTCTTACGGCTCGAGAACTAGCGAGGACACCCCATATTTCTCACCTGCACATAGGTCTGTTCGATAGAAATACGTCCAAATCGTAGTCTTAAGGTGATTCGATGGACGCCATATTTTGTGTCAGAACGGCATGCGATACATCGCATCAATTGGTTCCATTTTTTCAGCTATTGGTCGTGTTTCTCGAGTTTTGAGATCGCAATTCTGTTGTCAGGACTCAGGAGACTAAAACACTCGCTCACCAATTTTAACAAAGAAATTCAACGTAATAGAGGCGTGATTTTTTTTAGACAGAAAATATCGCATTCGAGTGCAGTTTCGATATCAGTATCGAATGCGATGTTTTCTCTCTGAAAAAACCACGCCTTCATTGCGTTGAATTTGTTTGTAAAAATTGGTAAGTGAGTGCTTTAGTCTCCTGACAACAGAATTGCGATCTCAAAATTCGAGAAAAATGATAAGTAGCTGAAAAAATGGAGCCAATCGATGCGATATATCGCACATCGTTCTGACACAAAATATGGCGTCCATCGAATCACCTTAATCGCAAAATTCAGTCCATTTTATCTTAATCTCTTGGGTGGATCAGACTCACTACGTACTTGAGGTTCAGTGTCCGGGTAGATATTTGCCGGAACGCGCCAGTCAACGATGGGTGGTCCCTGCGGCTCTGCGCCAATGAATAGAGCGGGCTCAGGGTACGGCGGGGCCCAATTCGGCCACATGGACTTGGAGCGTCTAAGCGTAGCGTCCTGCGGGGCGAAACTCCCAGTGCGGGACGTGGCAGCCTGCGCGGGGTCCTGGCCGAAGCTCCCGGTCCTGGATGTGGCAGGCGTCGCAGGGTCCTGTCTGAAACTCCCGCTTCGGGACCCGGAAGGCGTGGCAGGGTTCGACCCGATACTCCCGCTTCGGGACAAGGTAGGAGGCGCGGAGTGGCTGCGTTTCCTGAATTTCAAGAAACTGAACTTACGTGACATGCTGCCCTCGCCGGGAAGCATGCGAGTCTGTAGCCTGCTGCTGCTGCCGCTTCCGCCATATTTCCGCTTCCTGCTGCTTGCGCCGATTTTCCTCAGGTACTCCTCACCTGTAGATCATCTCGGGATTTAGAGTTAGGGCTTTACTCAGTCAGTGGCGTGGCGTGCTTTGCGATATATCGATTGTTATGCCATTTAAACCCGTGGTAAAGAATCGATTACTAAGGTGTTCGCTGCGAACACCCTGACTATCGATCCTTTTCCATAGATTTAAATGGCACAACAATCGATATATCGCAAAGCACGCCACGCCACTGCAAACAGTGTTCAAAACCGAGGAGTGGCATTTCTTGTAATGGGCGAGGTACAAAATTAAGCATTCTGATGCATGTTTCTTAACCAAAATTTCACGTAAAACACATTTTTGCAACTAAAATTGCTAAAATTGGCTTCTAACCGAGATATTTACTGTTTCTTGGCGTATGAATGGACCACTAGACAAGGTACGAATTTCAGCATTCTGATACATGATTCTTAACCAAAATTTCACGTAAAATACGACGCGCATAACGAAAATTACCGAAATCAACTCCTAACTAAGATATTTAATGATTATTGATGCGTGAATTCAAACCACCCACTCATGAAAACTCAATGCTCAACGTGATTCACATCGCGCGCTAAACGTTATCACACTGAGAAAAAACTATGGCTTATAAACCTATTAGAGGTAAATATGGAACACCACTAATAGTAGTACCTCTACATATAATAATAGCACATATACCTTAGTTATGGTCTCTGTACCTTAATTAGGTACAGAGACCTTAGTATGGTTCACAGACCGAGAATCATTAGTTTATTTACGACTATTATAGGTGTTCCATATTTACCACTAATAGGTTTATAAACCATAGCTTTTTCTCAGTGCATGACAGTCTCTGCGATATAAAAATCTGACAACCTCAATCTTGACGCTTTGGTTCAGCTGTAACAAATTGCTTATAGTTTGAACAACACATGGTGGGAAATGAACATTGCTCGATTGAGAAGCTTGCTGAAACCGTTGTAGTGGGCGATTTGACTCACGTAGAGCTTTGAGTTTCTTGTGAGCGGGCAGTTCAAATCCCTCGTAACCAATGTGACATAAAAACGTTAATATTTTCGTTTGGAGTTTGTTTCATTAGTTTTTGTTGCGCAAATCGTGTTTTACGTGAAATTCTGGTTAAGAAACATGTATCAGAATGCTTGAATTCGTACCTTGTCTAGTGGTCCATTCAAACCTCCCGCTCATGAAAACTCAATTGTCTGCGTGAGTCAACTCGCACACTAAACGTTACCGTGGCAGTCTCTGCAATACAAAAATTCAGAAGACTCAATCATGACGCTTTGGCTCAGCTGTAGCAAATTGTTTACACTTTGAACGATAAAAGTTGGGATAGGAAAAGAGCTCGATTGAGAAGCCTTCCGAAAGCGTTTTAAGGCGCGATTTGACTCGCGTAGAGTATTGAGTTTCTTGTGACCGGGCAATTCAAATTTCCTATAACCAATGTAAAATTGAAACGTTAATATTTTAGTTTGGAGTACATTTTAGTAATTTTTGATGCAAGAATCGTTTTCTACATGAAATTCTGGTTAAGAAACCTGTATCAGAGTGCTTAAAGTCGTACTTACTTTGTCTAGTGGTCCATTCTGCATCATTGTATCTACTAAATGGGCGTATTTCTACCAAACAAAACACTGTTCAAAATCGAGGAGTGACGTTTCTTGTAATTCTGCATTACTGTATCTACTAAATGGGCGTATTTCTACCAAACAGAACACTGTTCAAAATCGAGGAGTGACATTTCTTGTAATTCTGTATTATTGTATCTACTAAGTGGGCAAATTTCTACCAAACAGAACACTTTTTAAAATCGAGGAGTGACATTTCTAGTAATTCTGCATTATTGTATCTACTAAATGAACGTATTTCTACCAAACAGAACCATGAGCAGCGGGGAAAGATGAGGTGTGCTCGTTGTTCGAGGAACGTAAGAATGAATCGGAATTACACAGCGCCAGGGACGCTATGTAGATTTAGAGTTAGGGCTTTACTCATACACTGTTCAAAATCGAGGAGTGACATCTCTTGTAATCCTGCATTATTGCATCTCTTAAATGGACGTATTTCCACCAGACAGGACAGAAGCATGAGCAGGTGGGGAAGATGGGGTTCGCTCGTTGTTCGAGGAACGTAAGGTTTAATCGGAATTATAAAGCGCCAGTGACGTCAGCGCAACGAAGCCGTCTCGGTTGTCGCTCTCACTCGGCTCTAACTCATGAGCCCTGTCCACAACGCTTTTTTGCAATATCCATGGCTCATGAGTGCCGCATTCGGTTGGCACATGGTTCCGTTAGACAGAATGCAAAATCCCGCTTTTCTATTTCTCCAGAGGGGATCAAGCCCAGTTTGACGTTGGAGCACACCCCATCTCCCTAGGCTCTACTCATACACCGCAGTTCAAAATCGAAGAGTGACATTCAGTGTTCAGTTACACGGAAAAAAGAGTTGTGCTGGATCAACACAAATTTGTGTTGGTTCAACACAAAAGTTGTGTTGACGCTACCGGCAGAACTTTACCGAGTGTTGAATTAAGAAATTAGTCATGTCAGATGAAGCCAACTAAGTTAGGTTGGCTCAACACGCTAGTGGTGATGAGTGAACACCGCAGGTTGATTTGATACGACACAAATAATTGCGCTGAATCAGCACAACAAGGATAATTTGACGTGACACTGCTTTTAGTGCTGAATCAGCACAACAAAGGTGATTTGATTTGAAACTGATTTTTGCGGCAGCACGAGGTAAACCATTTCTCCTTCAGCTTTTTAAGTGTGCAACTTGGGTGTCACCGGAACACGAATAGTTGCATCTAAACAATGGTTTTGTTACACCGTGTTTTTTCACATCGCCCGAGGATTTAGTGAAAGGAATTATTTAAGGATCGGCTTCGAATGCGGACCGTTTACCATTTGACTTGGGCAGTTCAGGAGGCCTTTGAAAAAACCGCATACGAAAAAGTAAGTGAGTTTTATATAAAATTCTAGAAATTGGCAGCAAATTGCTCATCAAGCATCATTTTGGAGAAAAGTAGCGTTAACTTCCGGAAATTCCCAGTCATATGCGTACGCATCCTCGAGGTACAGAAAGTTCGGATCATTTTGGTCAGCGAGCTGATTATTTAAATTGATCGACAAAGCTATAGACAAAGGAGATATAGGGAGCATGAAGCGACACTAATGGTTGAAGCGGGTGGTTCCTATAGACAAAGGGAGAAAATGATGGACAAACTATAGGGTCTCTAGTAGTCGTCACTCAGTCTTGTATACCTACCTCTTTTGTCCATTGCAACAATGCACTTCCATCGATAGGGTCGCTTTATTTCCCTTTCGTCTTCTGCGTCTATAGTTTTGCCTATCAATGGAGATGTTGCATACGTGAGGAATTTGCGATTTGACCGTTGATTCTTATGTAAAAGTTCGCGAGAAACACGATAGTGCCTCTGGTTTTCTCTGAAATCAACTCCCAAGCTCAGAAAAAGCTCTCAAGTTGAGGCCAAAATGGAGGGGATATCCCACGCTATCCTGAGAGTCCACGTCTACATCAAGAAAAACTCTCCATGCAAAGATAGGGATAGCAAATACATTCGCAGTGATGCCGTGTTTTCAGTTTTAGAGTCCCCAAATAAAGTGGCAGCCCTGTTAATGTATTTGCTCCCTATCTTTGCATGGATAGATTGTATTGATGTAGAGGTGGACTCTCAGGATAGCGTGGAATATCCCCTCCATTTTGGCCTCAACTTGAGAGCTTTTTTTGAGCTTGGGAGTTGATTTCAGAGAAAACCAGTGGCACCATCGTGTTTCTCGCGAACTTTTACATAAGAATCAACAGTCAAATCGCAACTTCCTCACGCAAGCAACATCTCCATTGGTTTAAATGGGTGCAGACGAAGGGAGAAAATGATGGACCAACTATAGGGTCTCTAGTGGCCGTCACTCAGTCTAGTATATCTACCTCTTTTGTCCATTGCAACCACGCGATTCCATCGATAGGGTCGCTTTATTTCCCTTTCGTCTTCTGCGTCTATGGGTCTGCCTATCAGTTTCAACGATAGGCCAACAATGGAAACCTGAATACGTCAGAAAATTTTCACACCTCGAAATCTGTGGACAAACTAAAATTATACCCTATTTTCCCGAAATGTCTCTTTTTCTGTCGTGTGAAATGAATAGAATTGTGCAATAACGACCTACGATCTCTATGTCGTACTTAAAAAGACATATTTGCATACGGAAACTAATGGGACGTACGTTATTTTAAAATGAACCGGAAATTATGTTCCTAATTCCAGAAAGTAGTTCAAAGCTACTCACTTGTAAGATCTGCGAACACGTTTGCTCCGAAAACGGCGGTTCCTGTATTGGGGCTAGCATTCAGGCCACCAATTTTCTTCAAGTTCTCCTTGTAGATTTTGAATCGTCTCTCATCTTCTGCTTGTGAAGCGTATTGTTTATTGTGTTTTGCCTTCCACTGGTCGAATTGCGTTCTTAAATCCATGCTAACAACTGATTTCTTATGTAGGAAAGGAAAGGAAATATTAACCAAGGCGTCAACAGCAGTTAAAACACTTTCATTATATGGAAAATATGAACATTTTGGTAATTTTGGAAATTTGGTTTGACTAGGTCATGAAGCAGAGCTAAAACGGGCAGCCACGCTATGAGAACAAATTGATCAAAATTACATATTTTTACAATCACTACCACCCGTTACGTCGTTTATAAAAAAAATGGGAGCATATCGATGACCACAGGACAAAACCACGTATCTACGTTTGCGATGTTGTAGACTTCTTAGCATACTTTTTTTCCCTCTCAGATAACTTGTCATGTAATTTCTTGAATTTCTTGAAAACTGCGTGGATTTTTCTCCTCTGACAGTAAACTATTATGTATTCTCAAGTTATAACGGTAGCTTCTTTCTCTTCGAAAAAATTAAACATGGAGCGGATATTGTATGTCACTGTAGTTGATATCCGTGATTTCATACTGTAGCCATCCACACACAGACTCTATTTTTTGGAAAACAAATTCCCAATTTTACGCAACCTGGTGCTACTTCGGTTCTTGGATTGTCAGTGTGGGCCTCTAAAATACATTGTTTCTCACTGATACAAAGATATTTGATATATGATATGTGTGTCTTGTTTTGCTTTTGGTTGACATAGGAAGGAAAACACATATCAACCCAAAATTTGTGTTGATTTTGGTACAACTTACGGTGAATTTACTCTGAAAAAAATTGTATGCTGTTTCAGCATTTAGGATGTCAAAAATGTGTCTGATGATCCTAAGATGCTGCCTTGATCGCTCACGCAATTGAATATGCATTCACAGGATGTAAAGTTAACTGCAGGGGCAGTCATTTTGGGATCACCAGACACATTTTTGACATCCTAGATGCTTAAACAGCAAATTACTTTTTAAATGTAGCGCAGTAATCAATTGAGAGACCGGGGAACCTTTATTTTGTGTTTCACTTCCCGTATCAACCAAACTTTTATGTTGAGTTGTTCGCTCTGCGTGGAAGCGCACTGAAAAAAAAAAATTCGGTGCATTTACTAAGAAAAGGGTAAAATTACCAAGAATTCAGGGTTCTTTTTGATCCCAGTTTTTTCTTGGTAAAATTACCCCTTATGGAATTGGTAATTTTACCGTGAAATCTCGGTAAAATTTTTGAACTTTCTCGGTAATTTTCCTGGACCTTGGTAAAAACGCCAATATTTTTATCGAATGTGGTAGAATTACCGAGATTAAATGGGAAAGTTACCGGGAATTGATTACCAATAAAAGTGGTATTCTTACCTGAAAAAAAAAAAAAAACAGTAAAAATACCGGTTTTTATGTTAGCTTACCAGTCTGTCTTGGTTAAATTACCAATTATTGGTAAAACAAGTGAGATGGTAAAGGCACCAACAGACCTTGGTAAAAACGCCGAGCATTTTTTTTCAGTGCGATTTTCCTCAGCATTGCTGTGGTATGTTCTAGAGTCCCATTATACTGAGAGTCAAGACAATGTGAATCCATTTCTGATTGGTTCCCCGTATTTTAGGCCTTCACAGTGTCACAAACGGAAATAAAGATTACAGTTTCACCCATTGCAAAGATTATAATCTGGAATGGACCGGGTATTTACGGATTCGGCAAGGAACAAACGGAATGAGGGAAGGAACGAAGAAAGGAATTCGAGAATGGGCCGATCAAAGATTACGAAAAACGTTCAATTTCTGTAATCTTTATTCCCGTTTGTGACTTCATGAGGGGTGTTGTCTTGACTCTCAGTATAAAGGGACTCTAGTATGTTCCTACCTCAATCGCTTGCTCGACCATCTTTTTCTTGCTGTAAGTCGACGACCAAACAGATTTTTGAATGCAGGTTTTGGGTAAGTGTTCTTCCAGGTCTTTGTAGTTGAAACTGCAAACGCAATCCCCTCTGACGCACCACCCCCGAACCCAGGGTTTGTTGAGCAGCGGGACCTTGCCCCACCACGAGGTGCACAAAACGCTGCAGCTTTCCGGGTCCATCGAGTCTGGGTCGCACGTTGCGTCTAAACCCTCTATGCGAGTCGCTTGGAAAAAAAAAAAAAAAAAAAAAAAACTAAGCTTAGTTGAGACCAACACTGAAAAAAATGATATGATCTTTTAGCACATAGAATTTCAAAAATGTGTCTGGTGATCCTAAGATGCTGCCTAGATTACCCACGCAATTGAATTTGCATTCACAGGATGTACACTGGTAAAAAAACCTCTTGGTTCAAGAGTGCAGTTTCTTGTCGCCGGATTTAAGAGTCTGGACTCTTGTTTCAATGCAAAATCCGCTTGAATCAATGCAAAATCCGCTTGAAACAAGAGCTTTAGACTCTTAAATCCGGCGACAAGAAACTGCACTCTTAAGTCAATGCAATGCGGCATTGGTCCAAGAGGTTTTTTTTACCAGTGTAAATTTAACTGCGGGGGCAGTAAAGGTAGCATTTAGGGATCACCAGACACATTTTTGACATCCTAGATGCTAAAACAGCATAATATTTTTTTCATTGAAGTGATGGGTAAGAAGGAAAAACTCTGAAAATATTGGCTCAACAAGGCTACAAAAATTCTACGAACACAGTCGAGAAATTTTGGAATGATTACTTGCTCATTACAACCGAAAACAAAGGCTTGAGATTGAAAATTAATACAAGAAAATGATCATGTGGACGTATTTCTGCCAAACGGAAGTATGTGCATTAAGACATGAGCCCTGAGACCCATAAGAATATATGCATATCAGGGCTCACGTCATAATGCACATACTTCCGTTTGGCAGAGATACGTCCATGTAATTGACCAACGTATAAACTTTGTTTAATTTTGCACTGATTCTCACCTCTATCAGTTAGATGCTCAGTTTTTTCCTTTAATTTTTAATCTTTGTCTTAATTTGAAAATGGCATGTAATTGGCCTTGTGTTTTTACCGTTTTTACCCTGAAGTTCTATCGTTAAAACTGAGTATTCTGATAATGTCGTATTGTTGTTTCCAACCTCTTCAGGCTTAAATTTAGTGTTCCAAACATGTTTTTTCTCTCTCTCTCTCTCTCCCCCTCTCTCTCTCCCCCTCTCCCCCCCTCTCTCTCTCTCTCTAAAAAAAGTCGCATACCGAAGTCTCAAAAACATATCCACCAGATGTAGATATAGAGCTCTTAGCCAAAAGCTCAAAAAATTGAATTTCCGACGACCGAACCGACGATTTTAAGAGGCGCATTGTCGTTCAACTACGTTAAAACTGTTTTAGAGGACAAAAATGGAACACCTTAAAAGGCCATGCTGTCACTGACACTTTAACGTACATGTATGTCAGTCAATGGTAAAGAGAAGTATAAAAAAAAAACAGCAGGATGACAAATGACTCCTATACAAAAGCTATTCTTTTTTTTTTCAACAACGGAAAAGTTCCACTTCCGATATTGATGGGCGCATATAGCAGAATTTATTGACAATCTTTGACATCATTCGTCACTCAAAATTACCCGTTCGCGATAAAAGCATTCCGATTTTTTTGACTATGACATGGGCCCATTGCGCGATTTTCAGGTTAAAGTCGTGAGTACAATTTACGATTGGACCGAGTTCAGCATAAAGGAACCAAGCCACCTCAGCCATTGTATTTGATCGGACATTTTAATTTTTTACGAGAAAAAGTTTGTGTGCATTCCTTTGAAAATGTCGAGGAATTTGCTTCGTACTATGCAGAAATCTCACTGAAATTTGTATTACAGGTATCTGTGCATCAGAAAAAGGATGCATGATTAGTGAGAACATAATAAAATAGGATCTTGTTCAGTGATTTCTTCTTTCATTATTGTAATATTTCGCGAGCTCATTTTAGACGTGTAGCAGAAAGGAACCAAGCCATATCGCCTACAGATACATTTGGCTGGGCAATTTAATTTTTTATAGGAGAACGTTTTTGCGGATTCCTTTGAAAATGTCAAGGAATTTTCTTCGTACTATGCAGACAACTCTCTGAAATTAGCACAAAAATCCGCACAACCTATCTAATGTAAAAAATTAGACTGCCCAGTTATACTTGGCAATAGCTGATGCGGCTTGGTTCTATTCTGCTAAACGCAGTCCAATTTTTACTGATGTGTATTTTTTTAATGCGGATGTCCATGGATAGATAATTTTTCATGAAAAACAAAAAACATTAAAGCGCGCACTGTCCAGAGACCTATTATGTGACACATACATAATATCATGCTGACTATAACTGATGACTAACTCTCTCGACAAAATACTCAAAACTGTGCACTCAAAAGCAGCGCGAGATAGAAAGATAAATGGTCTTTTAAGTTCCGTCTGTTGTATCTTTTATGTTAAGTCATTTCAAAATGAGCACGATAGGAAATTAACCCTCACACGCAAAAGCGCACCAGGAAATTTTTTTGGAATCACTTAAGGTTTTTTTCTATTTTCCGTGTTTCTGTGTTTGTAACACATGCATCCAAATCTGTAACACATTATTCTTCGGCTGGCTTTGAGAGTATATTTTTTCAACACGACTATTGCGTTTCTAAATGTGGTAGTTAAAAGAATTAGAATTGAGCAAATAAGAGCAAAGTGGAAATACAGAACTGGAGATTCCTAGTTTTCTATTAGATCATGGAGCGATTCTGAAAAGTTGAAATAAAAAAATAATGTTCGTGACTGCACTAGCCTGTTTCTTTTCATGTCAGGGTATGAGCAAGCCATAGTGATGTGGTAGAACGACGGAGAAACTGCGACAATGCGTATATCGGTTGCGCTGGTTAAAAAAATCCGTTCGTATTTTATTTTTTAAAAGGAAAGATTGAATAATATAGTTAATAGTATTTAAGTGCTGTACTAATAAAACAGCACTTAAATATATTACATTGATAAATGTAAGGAGAATATTTAACAACCATTAGCAATAGAGAAGAAGAGATAGAAAAATATATATTGTAATCATTAATAATAGAGAAGACGAGATAGAATAA